ATAATAGTAAAAAAAAAGTTCTCACCCAAGCCGACACACTTTCTCTTTCAGTCTCTTCCGTTCCGGAGCTGTCCCAACTTCAGCAGCTTAAAGGCTGCCTCTCAGCCGCTGTCAAAAGGGCTTCTCCTGGATCAACCAGGGACTTTGCGATGTCCCTGGGATCCACAGGATGTGCCCTTCACTATCACCGTCTCTACGGGACGGTTTAGGTCCGTTTGGACCGACCAGGGGCTGAGATATCAGCTGCAATCTTGGAGCTCGATTGCAAACCGTACCGTAGCGACGCCAGCTCCGCCCACTCTTTATTTCCTTTATTTTTTTGAGCAGTGTATATTCTACAACATTTCTTTATTATTACTATTCCTTTCAATACAAAACATCACATACTAGGGAGATCATAATAAGCTGGACTTATGCAACCTGATGTACAAAATAAACACACATTTATGCTCTGGACTAGACATTGAATGCATGTAAATCCCTGAAAAATATGTGGTAGCCCTGGCCAAAAAAAGGCAGTAAAATCACTCTAGGTGTAGGGACAGTGTAAAATATTAATACATGATAAATAGTGGAACAATTCAAAATAACACAGACTTCTCTTTTTCTCTCTCCTATTTCTTTTTTTTTCTTTTTTTTCTTTCTCTCTTCCTGATCTCTCTCTCTCTCTCTCTCTCACACACACACACACACGCACACGCACACACACACCTGTTCATCCAAGCCCAAGAAGGGGGTGAATAAGTGGGGGGAGGGACTTCTAGGTTTCTAGGAAGAGGCACCCCTGGAAGTTGCTCTACTCTCCAACCACACAGACTGTTGATCAATTGGTCATCAGTGTTTAGTGTCAAGAATGGCTCCTAATTGCAAATAGGATCTCTTTGCAAATTCTGTTTTAAGGCGATAAGAAAAGATCCGATGGATCAGACAAAGGTCAGTCTAAGATTCACAGGGAGCACACAAATCCCTCTGGTTCTCCCTGGTCGGTCAGGGGAGGTCATACAGGCGATTTCTCCCCCCCCCCCCCCCCGGGAGGATGGAAGGGAAGCAGCTCCCCGGGGCGAGGGGGAGGACAGGGCTTATTGAACTGGTATCTGGATCTCTTCTTTCTTTCTGATCTTTCTTTTTCTTTCTCTCCCATCCTCTCTCTCGCTTGCTCACAAACACCTGGTCTGGGAAGAACTGAATGAACTCACAAGCAGCTCCAGTCAGCAGCGGGGCGGCGGGATAAGGAAAAAATCGGGCGGCACGCTCTCCCAAAGACCTCCACCACCCCACTCCAGCCCTCTCTCTTTCACACACACACACACACACACACTTCCTATTTTTTTCTTTAGTTTCTTTCTTTCTGATCTTTCTTTTTCTTTCTCCCTTCTCTCTCTCTCTCTTGCTCACACACACCAGGTCTGACTGGGACAGCGCGAGAAGGCAGAAAGTGAGTGGTGGGGCGGCGGCTGGACTCGCTTTGTTTATTTCATTTCCCAGCGGTTACGGCGGCGGTGATATTCCGAGAGGGTGGGGTGGGCGGATGTACCGGGTCTGCTGCATGTGTGCACCTCCACTGCCCCCTCAGCCTCAGCGCAGCATAGATGCCCCTCAAGCTCCGCAAGTCCAGCTGCTGGCCAGGCTGAGATGGGAGGAGGCAGAAAGCGGCCAGCACATGCAGCCGCCATGGCCGGTCGCTTTGTTCATTTTGTGCCCTGGGAGAGCAGCAAAAGGCCTGCTTGGGTGGGGAGGAAGGAAAGCCCCAGCCCACCCATTCTGGCTGGCAGCTCTGCTCCCCTTGCTATTCCAGGTTCTGGCACACTGGCCAGCTCGGATACGGGGCATTTGACACCCCGCCAGCTAATGCTGCCCCGGCAGCTGCTTCTGCCGCTGCCAAGAGCAGTTCTTGCCCGTCTCTCGCTGCTGCTCTTTTGGGGAGGCACTGCTGCGTGTGTGAACTACCGCCACCCTCTTACCTGCAGTGGTGGCAGGCTGGCCTGCGCGCCGGAACCTGGAAGAGAGTAAGGGGAGCAGAGGTGCTGGCACGCAGGTCCACCCCATTGAGCCCGCTGCACTGGAGGGACTTGCCCACGCGCCTTCTTGCAGAAAGTCCCAGCCTCACGTGTGCACATGTGAGGTCCCGGGACTTTCTGCTAGGAGATGGTGCATGGGCTACCGGCTCATTTCCAGCTAGCAAAGAGGCATCAACTGGGAGACTTCTTGCACCGAAAAAAAGAGGCAGCAGCTGCAGGCATGTCGCAGCAAGGGTGGGGGGAGGTGTGGGAGCCAGCCGCTGGAGGAAGGTAAGGTCGCGGCCATGGATGATGAAAGAGGCAGTCGTAGGGGAGGAAGCGAGGAGATTAAGGGCCGGGCCAGGGGCCTCTGAAGGAGGGGAAAATAGGCAATGCATTGTGCCTAAGGGAGAGCAGGTGGCAAGTGGGCGGCGGCTCCGGGGCAAGGCTGGAGCTGGGGAATCACACGTTCCCCGACCCAGCCGAGGCAGCTGGCGTTTCCAGGGCCTCGGAATAGCGCACGTCCCTGGGGCCCTGGCCCCCAACCCAAGGCGAAGGCTCAGCGGATGGCATGCATTGGTTATCTTTGGTGAGCTGAGCCGATCGGGCATCAACAAGGCAACTGGCAAGGCAGTTAGCTGGGCCATGTGGCGAAGCCAATATATATAGGGTGGGGGTGGGCGGGGCGAGCATCGAACAGCCGGAAAAGATGATCGAGCATCCGGAAGGGGCGAGCGACCGTCGGCATGGCCAGCCAGAAGTCGCTACCGGTTCCGCGACCCACACCAAATTCTTGCTACCAGGTCGCCAGAACCGGTGTGAACTGGCTGAATAGCACCTCTGCCCCCCCCTTCTTTCTGGCAGCCCCTTAAAAGCCTGTTGCCTATCGCACTCTTGGACAAAGCATGTGAGCCATTTCCTCCTTTCAGTGATCAATGAAAGTACATCTGTAGTATGTAGATAATAAAGTAAAAAAAAGGTGAACAATATTTTTACGGAACTATAGATACCTTGAGGCTGGGTGTGACAAGGAATGGCTGGGAGGGGAGGGGCCAGGCGAGGCATCCCTTGACATGAGTGACATTGGGTTGGCCACACCCACACAGTCACATGACCACCAAGCATGCCCACCAAATAAGTCACACCCACAGAACCAGTAGTAAAAAAATTTGAATCCCACCACTGCTCAGGATGGGTGATGAGGTGAGATCAGCCCAAGAAACAATGTATTGTTCTAAAACAGGGATGTCCAACTTTGCTAACTTTATGACTAATGGACTTCAACTCCCAGAATTCCCCAGCCAGAATGAGGAATTCTGGGAATTGAAGTCCACAGGTCTTAAAGTTGCCACAGTTGAATGTCCCAGTTCTTGAACAAACACGGTTTGACAAAAGTGAAGGGAGCAGATGAAAATGTTGTTGAAATCCTCTCCAAATCTCTCCCACATAGAAATGCCATTCTCTGGCCTCTCCAGTTCAGGCTCCTACTTCTAAGGGAGAGAAAAATGCCTTCAGCACCTCTGACAACCCCCCCCCCCCCCCCGTTTTTTCTTCCTACCCTCTCTTCTTCTTTTCTTTGCAGACATTAGAGGAGGAGAGCCTACAATTTGAGGAGGAGCCTGGTAACATCTTTTCTGACTAACACATTTCATTAAAAGGCATAAGGTTTTGTGAGCCCTAGTTCAGGCTTTTTAATAACATTATTTGGAAAAGGTGCTACCAAGCTCTTCCTGATATTTTTCCCCTTTCTTTGCAAACCTTTCTATTATTCAGGTAGATTTTATGGATTTTATTTGGGCGGGGCAGAATAGAGGTTCTGTATCTTTAATTGGCAAAACCCCATGGAGAAAGGTTTTCTGGACATAGAATGTAAAAGTACAGGTAGTCCTTTACTTACTACCACAATTGAGCCCAAAATTTCTGTTGCTAAATGAGACGTTTTGCCCCATTCTACAACCTTACTTGCCACAGTTGTTAAACGAACCATTGCAGTTAAGTTAGTAACACGGATGTTAAGTAAATATGGCTTCCCCGTTGACTTTGCTTGTCAGAAGTTCACAAAAGGTTGATCACATGACCCAGGACACTGCAAGCATCATAAATATGAGTCAGTTGCCAAGCATCTGAATTTTGATGACGTGACCATGGAGATGCTGCAACGGTCATAAGTGTGAAAATGGTCATAAGTCATTTTTTTCAGTGCCATTTTACTTTGAACAGTCACTAAATGAACTGTTGTAAGTTGAGGACTACATCTATATCTCATTCCTTGATTTTCTACTTTATGTTGCTGTTTCAGAGTAGATGGGGGGGGGGGGGGGCATAGAGGGGAAAATGGCCTTAGGGCACCTGCTTTTTTCTTGGCTTTATTTTTTGTAATTTTTTTTCTGCTTATTCTCCTTAAAAGTGTCAACGCTCTATAAAGTATGAAGAGAGTCCCCCTATAGTGAAGGAAACATGGCAGATAAGAGGAAGCTACAAGGTAAGCAATGTGGCTGGACTAGGAGCCTAGTTTTATAGCAGAAGAACAGAGGGTCTATTCACCTAGACTGGCGCAGAAGAAAGAGGTGGGCATAAATTGAGCAGAAGGCAAACAGGATTCTTACTTTGAATACCTGGCACAGGATGCTGTATTTTCCAAATGAGTATGTGATGCGATTAGGGAAGTGTGAGAAGAGTTAGGTTTTGTGTTGGTGTAGGAAATCAATAAAATGGGGGCAAAGGTGCTGGAATTTGGGAAGAAGGAAAAACAGGCAGCGTTTCAAAATTCCAATTGTCTTTCTTCCTCTTTTAGGTTTCAGGGACGGTATGAACCTGTTGCTTCCTGTGATTTCTTTCAACCAATTTATCTCTCTCCCCCCCCCCCCCCCCACTCTTGCAGGTGAGATCGATCGGTGTCTCAAAAAGGTATCGGAAGGTGTGGAGCAGTTTGAAGATATCTGGCAGAAGGTGAAGGCTGCTGTCATCTCTCTGCCTGGGTTCTGTCCAAACTCCTTGATTATCACCCCATGTAGTTCCTCATCCTAATTTTATTTTTGGGAAGGGAGGATCAGGGAGAGGAGGGAAGAAGTCATTTGGCTCCCGCTTTTTTCCAGTTTGATTTTGCCCTCCACTTCATGACACTATCAACTCCAGCCTTGATCACATCTTGGGTTCCCCTCCCCTCCTCTGCTACAGCTCCATAATGCAGCGAATGCCAATCAGAAGGAGAAATATGAAGCCGATCTGAAAAAGGAGATTAAGAAGCTCCAGGTAAGAATGAGCCAAGCTTCAGTATTCTTTGACAACCCAATATCAGGAGATTAGTTATGGAGAATAACCTGAAATCCAGGGAAAGGCAGATGGGAAATGTTGTCCCCAAAAGGCTTTTGTTAGATAAGAAGAGGGGGTGGGAGTTTGTCAAGTTGCAATGCAGTGTTTGCATTCCTCTCCCGGAGACTGAATCAGAAGTCCTAAGTTTGTCAAACGGTCTTGTCAAGCTCCAGGGAAATTAGGGGATCCAGGCAGTTCAAATAGGTATAAAGATTTATTGAAAACTTAAGCTCTCTGCAAGAATCGGAACTACCGTAGATAAGAGTCACAGGAATTCAAGGTGGGCTAGACTTAGATCTCTTGAGGGCAGGAAGGGATTCATGACTGATGACATGCTTGACCCCTCCCTCGGGCTCAGCCCAGTCATGTACCGGTCTAGATGTTTCCAGACTGTGTGTTCCAAAATGTCCTTTGACAGTTCCCTCGATTCTCCGCTATCATCATTTAACTCAGAAGTGTTAATAAAAATTCAGATAAAGTTCAGGGAAACATACATTGAAATCATCACTCCCTACATTTTTCATGAAAAACAACTTACGTTGGAAAAAGCAAAATTTGCGCGACAAGAGAAAGGAAAAAGGTAGCAAGCTATGTTGAGTTGCTGATTGCTTGGCTTCTAACAGACGAAATTTAAATCCCAATACATACAGGTACTGACTATTTGAAGTTACAACAGCACTAAAAAAGGAGGCTTATGACTGGTCCTTGCACTTATGACCGTTGCAGCATTCCCACGATCACATGATCATGAAAATTTGGACACTTGGCAACCAGGATGTATTTATGAAGGTTGCCGTGTCCAGGGTCACATGATTGCTATTTGCGATCTTCCTGGTCAACTTCCAGTAGACCAAATCAATGGGGGAAGCTGGATTCAATTAACAATCACGTGATTCACTTAACTGCAATATTTGCTTAACAACCGTGGCACAAAAGATTGTAAAATGGAGTATGACTCATTTAACAACTGACTCACTTAGTTGTTAATTAGAAATTCTGTCCCAATTGTGGCCATAGGTCAAGTACAGGTAGTCCTCGACTTACAACAGTTTATTTAGTGACTGTTCAAAGTTACAGTGGCACTGAAAAAAGTGATTTATGACAGTTTTTCACACTTATGACCATTGCAGCCCCATGTTGACATGATCAAAATTCAGATGCTTGGCAATTGGCTCATGTTTATAACGGTTGCAGTGTCCTGGGATCATGTGATCCCCTTTTGCAACCTTCTGACAAGCAGTCAGTGGGGAAGCCAGGTTCACTTCACAACCCTGCTAGTTTACTTAACAGCTGCAATAATTCACTTAACAACTGCGGCAAGAAAGGTAGTAAAATGGGGCAAAATTCACTTAACAAGTGTCTCACTTAGCAACATAAATTTTAGGGTCAATTGTGGTTGTAGGTCGAGGACTATCTGTATAGCATAGGGCAAGGGTGTCAAACTCAAGGCCTGGGGCCCAGATCTGGCCTGTGGGGTGCTTAGAGCTGGCCCACAGGGCCGCCCTGGAAACAGTGAAGAACCAGACCGCTGTGCCTCTGCCAGCAAAAACGGAGCTCAGGAGGGCACCCCCAACACAAGTGACATCAACCTGGCCACACCCACTCTGGCCAAGCCCACCCCGGCCCCCCAAGGTCAAACATAACCCTGATGCGGCCCTCAACGAAATCAAGTTTGACACCCTGGCATAGCGGTATAGAATGAATCTATACTCATTCTTTACGTTTGACCATTTCTGTAATCATAAGCTTTCCGTAACCTGAAGACACCCAGAAGTGTTGAATTTTGTTATAATTGCAAACCACCATGATCGTTGGCTGACTGACTGTGGATTATGAAATTTGAATTTGATATGTCTAGATGGCACTAAGTTGGTAAAGACTGTTCTAAAAAGTTTCACTGTTAATGAATGTTACTCTAGGTAGGGCTAGTCTCTGCTGGGAAGATCTAGTAATAAAGGGAACAAAATTTGATCATGGAACTACTTTTCTCTTTCTGCAGAGATTGAGGGACCAGATCAAGACATGGGTTGCATCCAATGAGATTAAAGACAAAAGGCAGCTAATAGACAACCGGAAAATCATTGAGACGGTAAAAATTCAAACTGAGAGAAAAGAATCTATTAGCTATTATGTGTCAGTGCTGAGCAAAAATTCAGGTGAAATGGATGTTTTTCAAGGAAATTCTGTGGTTTTGGAGGACTAAATGAACCAGGTTTAATTTTGTCCAGTTTTAGACTTAGTTCTTACCAGCTCAATCAGCTTTTGTACTTAAGACTTCTTGATATTTTTATGCTTAGCTCCTCAACAGTGTTGCCATTGCCTGCTAGCAGTGTGACCTCATAAAGATGAGCCACCTGGCTATCTCACTTATTACTTAAGCTGAATAAGTGACAGAAAAGAGGTTCTGTGGGGAGCCCAGGACCTTTTCCACACAACCTTCCTTAGACTGACAACATGGGATAGAGTAGACAGTAAGACCTTAGTTTAAGGGTTTAACTGGTAGTGCTTGTGGAAGGTCTTCTAAACTTGAGAATAGAGGCTTTGAAATAAGGGACTTTGCAAGGATCAAGCTGTATCTTGTATTTCCCAGGCAACCTGAATCAGACTTTCTATACATTTTCATTTTGGAGGGCGGGGGAAGGCATTCTTAGAAACCTCATATTTTTCTAGTGTCAAATCCAAGCACTGATTAAAAAGCCTAATGGTTGGTGATCATCAGTATCTGTTTGCAGGGACAAAAATGCACATTTGCTGCATTGTTCATGATTGGAGGTTCTTTGTTACATGGCTCCATGTGACACTGCTTTGGGTATTTGTGGACAATATCTACTTGTTATTCACTTTGTGACTGAAAATGCCTTTGTGTGCCTAACTTATGTATTATATAGCTATCAGTGTCAGTATTCTGTAGAAGCAGTTAAATATTAAAATATTAATTAAAAAAAGCATTTGAATTAGACAACCCATGCCCTGTTTCAGATATATTTCCTTTCCTAAATGGAGAAGCAGAAAGACTACAAGCAGACAAAAAAGCCATGGGAGCAGGAGTGACTTCTGACTTCCTACTGACTTTCTCATTGAATTTCTTTGTGGGAATTTGGCGGGGAGCATTGGAAATCTTCCTTATATGATACATCATTTTGCCTAATTAGAGGGCACGGCAATGAGAGTATTAGTAGCATCTAGATGGGCCTGGGAAAATCATTCTTTTGATACTTTCACTTAGGAAAAAAATCAGTCCCACTGTGGTAGTAGCACCATGTTAATGAGATTCACTAGTTTGGGTTGTGTTATGATATGTACAGAATAACCCTTGAGTAACAAGGATATGCACATGGAAACGTTTATGAGAGTAGTTATGAATAATTATTCAGCCACATTCAGATACAATAAATTAAGTTAAAATTACTTTAAGAAATAGCACAGTCCAATAAACAGTCCAGGTCATATATGTTTTACAGTCCAAAGAATATCCAATTACAAAATCTTCTTACCTTTGTCATTTCCAGTAAACAAAAATATCAAAGTATAAGCACAACAAAAATACAACCTTAGATAGCAACAGAATGTCAGAGAGACAGAATGTCAGAGAGAGCAAGCCATGATCTCTAGCTCCCTCTTATGGCAATTCGCAATACAATCAACCAATCTGAATCAATACAGTGATTTTGTCTCAAAGCTACAAACATATATTGTTGGTTTATATATTGCCAACCCAACTAATTGGTGGACAGATTCCTAACATTCTCCCCTTTGGGTAGGTCAATATATAATACATTATATCTTTAAACCATAATTCTCACAACACTCTTTATGCTTAATTGCACCTTGAGCTTGAGCTTTCGTGAAATGATCTGCAATATTATGTTCAGTCATGCAGTATTCTAACTGAATTATTTTATTTTGAACACACTGTCTAACGTTCAAATATCTCAAATCAGTATGTTTAGACCTTGTTTTAACAGCTAAATTAGTAGCCATACTAATTGCAGATTGATTGTCTTCATAAACAATAAACGGATCACGTACAGTAATTCCAATATCCTTCAAGAATTGTTTATAATATATCAATTCTGTACACATTAAAGATAAACATGAGAATTCCGCTTCCATAGTGGATAAACTAATATGTTGTTGCCTAATAGACTTCCATCCTATTAAAGCAGGGGTCCCCAACCACCGGTCCACGGACCGGTACCGGTCCGTGGAACAAGTCCTACCGGGCCGCTGGCTTGCTGGGCGCTGCCATCTTTTTTTGATGAAAAAGTGCTTCATCAAAAAAAGATGGCGGCGCCCAGCTGATGCCGGTACCGGGCCGCGGCGTAAAAAAGGTTGGGGATCACTGTATTAAAGCATTACCCAACATTACCACTATACCTGATGTTGACTTACGAGTCATTATATCAGTAGCAAAACTTGCATCAGCATATGCAGTTAACACTAATTCATTTCTTGGTTCTAAATATAATGAATAATGGATTGTGTGTTTTAAAAATCTAATTATTCGCTTAGCTGCTTGCCAATGCCTTTCATTTGGTTCAGTGTTTTACCTAGTCAATTGGTTTACACTGTAAGATATATCTGGTCTAGACCAATTACCCAGATATGATAGACTACCGATTAAGGATTGATATATTGCCTTATCAAACATAAGACTTTTAATATCACTATGTGTAAATTCCTTACTCATTGGTGTCTTAGCAGATTTACAATGCTCCATGTTATAGCGTTTTAATAATTGGCTAATCTTCTTGGCTTGCAAAAATTTAAAACCTTTATTTGTTTTCACTATATCAAGACCCAAATAATGCTTAATTTCCCCTAAATTTCTAATCCTGAACTTTTTCTGTAATCTATAAACAATATCATTTGCTTCTTGTTCAGTTTTAGTTATAATTGCTATGTCATCCGTAAGTAACAGTAATAGAGAAATTAAACCATCTTTTTCTCTTCGGAACAAACAAGGATCAGCTATACTAGCTTCAAAACCTATTGAAACTAATTCCTTTACAATACATTTATTCCATTCATAACCGGATTGCTTTAGACCATAAAGACTTTTCTTTAATTTCCAATAATCAGTTTTTCCACCATCCTTTAAACCTAATGGATTTTTCATATAGATGCTATGTTGTAAAGGTGCATGTAGATATGCAGTTTCAACATCTAAATGGTTTATTTTACATTTATTCTTAGCTGCCCAAACTAATGCTGCTCTCAATGTATTTGCTCTCAGACCAGGTGCAAACACTTCATCATCGTCCTTATCTGACTGAGCAAATCCTTGAGCAACTAATCTTGCTTTATGGGTAATAGTCCCATCCACACCAGTCTTTATGTTATACACCCATTTGCAACCTATTGCAAATTTTGCAACCTATTACCTGGTGGTAACTCTACATCCTCATACACCTCTAAATCCTTTAATGATTTTAACTCCCTATTCATAGCTTCCTGCCAAGCTACCTGATCCTTTGTAGGATATAGTTTTATTTCATTGAAGTTAGAAGGTTCTGTATTAACCTGACATACAATGCTTGCTTGAAATCTGTCAGGTGGACGTCTCTCCCTAGTTGACTTCCTAGGCAACTCAGGACATGTTTTTGGCATGTCCCCTTCCTTTACCTCCCCCATCAAATCCTCGTTTTCTACAGTCATAGAGGGTTCTTCTATTGATGATTCCTCCATTGAGGATTCCTCCACTGTCTTATCATCAATATTATCATTAGGATTATCGGTAAACAATGGAGTCTCAACAACAACACTATCCTGTACCTTATTATATTCCTGTTCAAGCTTTCTCCAGCCAACATGCTCCAGAAATTTAGCACTTGCACTGCAATATACATTAGTAGTACATGGTTCCCAAAATCTAAATGATCTGTGATTAGCTTCATAACCTACAAAATATTATTGTCTCGCTCTATGTTGTCCCTTTCGCCTTACTAGCGTGGTTATATGAACCCATGCTGGGGTTCCAAATGTATGTAAATAACTGAGATCTGGCTTTTTTCCATTTCAACGAGTAACTGGTAATTCACCAGTCGTTGAATTCACTACGTTATTCAAAACATGGTTAGCACACATTATTGCTTCACCCCAAAGTTTCTCTGACAAACCAGAATCTGAAATCATAATCCTAGCCATAGCCTGTAATGTTTGTCCTCTACGTTCAATATATGCGTTATGTTGTGGTCTATAAGGAGCAGAACTCTTATGTTCAATGCCAGCTTTCTATAACATGGCTTCAAATTTTCTATTGGTAAATTCAGTACCATTATCTGTTACTAAGCTAATAACTTTCTGTTTCTTTTTCCTTTCAGCAAATTTTAGCCAGTTTACAAAATGCTGGTATGTTTCTGTCTTTGTTTTCATTAAATAACAAACCATATCTGGAAAAATGATCAATTATACTTAATATGTAACAGGCTCCACCTAAACTAGGTTTCATAGGTCCAATAATATCAGCAAAAACAACCTCTAATGGTTCACTGGTTTTGAATCCATTTACCCTATTTGCAGGAGTTACCTTGCTTTTTTCTTGATTGCAAACATTGCAATTCAAATACTTTGTACAAGGTTTTAATTTTATACCATTAGATAACTCAACAGTTTTCTTCAGCATTTTGAAATGTATATGTCCCATATGTCTATGGAGCAGATGAATACATTCATCATGAGGCTTTTTATTCTCATAAACTGAGTTAGCATTAATTAATGGATTATTATGTATAATAAACAAACCCATTATCCAATCTTGCAGTAACACTTTTACCCTGTTTTTCAATTAAACATTTATCTCCCTGAAAAGTTACAACAAATCCTGCTTTTACCATTGCTCTTACAGATAGCAAGTTAAATATCAGTCTAGGTACATATAGCATCAGTAAAGGTTCATTAATACATGAACAATATGCAGTACCTTCTCCAGATGCTCTCAATTTCCATCCATTAGCTAATGATACATGCTGTTTACTCTTTGTCATGTTAACAAACCTCTCTTTACTTTTAGTTATACACTGCAATGCTCCACTGTCAACTACCCATATATCATGGTTTACAGTTGTAGTTGTACTTGATATGGCTAAACTAACATCTTTATAAACTCTCTGTATATTAATAGCATTCTGTTTCTTACCCTTTTTACAGTATCTGACTATATGACCTTTAGCCCCACAAGAAAAACATTTCCTAACAATATAGACAGTTGAAGACAGTTTTTCTTCCTGTGGTTGTCATTCTCTCAGTTGATTTCTATCTTGCCTTCTTCTTGACTCTTCTAACAGTCTTCCAGTTATGCCAGTCAATGTAAGTTCATCTCTGTTTAAAACTTCCAGTGAAGACACATAATCATCATAAGTTTCATCCAAAGAAGAAAGAACGATGTAAACCTGATGCAACTCTGAGAAAATCAGTTCCTTTTCTTGTAACTCTTGTAAAGTCCTTTTCATAAACTCCAAATGAGCTAACATATCGCCATGTTTTATAAGACGGGCTCTAAACAGTTTACGTGTAAGGTGTATGTGTGCACCCACACTATCTCGAACATAAATCGTCTTCAAAATGTCCCAACACCTAGCAGCAGATTCTTCACCACGAATATGGACTAAGTGCTGATCACTCAGTGTCAGTCCAATTATACTAAGAGCCTTTTAATTATCCCGGTTAAAGTCAGCTATTTTCTTTTTATCTTCATCATTCAATGGGTCCCAAGCTGTTACATCCGGTGGACTATTAACTACAGTCCATAATCCGTCTTTACGCAGAAGTAGGCCGCACTTCATAGACCAGGAAACATAGTTTGTTCCATCCAACCGGGTTATCTGGGATATACTGTTTGACTGTTCTTGTGCCATTTGTAGTTTAACAATAAACCACAATCAGCTGGCTGAATATGAAACTGTATATTCACACTGATTCTCAATATCTCTCTGGGCCCACAACCATTGTTATGATATGTACAGAATAACCCTTGAGTAACAAGGATATGCACATGGAAATGTTTATGAGAGTAGTTATGAATAATTATTCAGCCACATTCAGATACACTAAATTGAGTTAAAGTTTACTTTAAGAAATAGCACAGTCCAATAAACGGTCCAGGTCATATACGTTTTACAGTCCAAAGAATATCCAATTACAAGTTCTTACTGGTTGCCTTTGTCATTTCCAGTAAACAAAAATATCAAAGTATAAGCACAACAAAAATACAACCTTAGATAGCAACAGAATGTCAGAGATACAGACTGTCAGAGAGAGCAAGCCATGATCTCTAGCTCCCTCTTATGGCAATTCGCAATACAATCAACCAATCGGAATCAATACAGTGATTTTGTCTTAAAGCTACAAACATATATTGTTGGTTTATGTATTGCCAACCCAACTAATTGTTGGACAGATTCCTAACAGGTTGGCCTGCTTATTTGAATAACTCAGCATTGTAAACAAAACAAGCTTATGAATTTTGTTAAGGAAATTACCACAACAGTTCAGGAGCCAGGATTTCTGGATAGGAAGAAATATAGTGAGTCCCTATTTTAGGGGACTAAGATTCTGAATCCAAGGATAGGCAGTAGAATTTATCTCTGGACAAAATTCCTCAGCAGGATTCCCTTCTGGTTTTTTTGGAGCCAATTTTCATCACCTCCAAGCAATATCAGGTTAAGAATGGTTTTGAAACCTAATCTACCAGTGGCAATCAAATAGATCAAAAGTGAAATTATCTCTTCCAAGATGCAGATAAAGAAAAGCCATTTTAAATGGTCTGAGATCTCCCACTTGTTTTAATCTGCTCTGCAATCATTCTAATTGCTGCTTCTCTTTTCACAGCATTCAGCTTCTTCTACTGATGGGAGACTACAGAAATCAGCATCCAATTAATCCCGTGACCCACCCCACATCCCAACATTTCTTCCCACCTGTTCAGTGATTTTCAAGCAACCAGACTGGTCACCATGAGGGGGAGGAGCTGTTCAGTTGTAAAAGAGAAAATGAAAGGACAGCTTAATAGTATCTTGGTGGCTTAGATTTTCCTAAGGATGTAGAATTTATGGGAGATGCAATGAGACCCAACCACCACCTCAGACTCCAGAATTCATTCTGCAGATTCATTCATTCTGTCTTTGTGGTGACTTTACTTATCCTAAAGCAGAGCCAGAAGTTAATTGCAATAGAAGAAAATATCTGTAGGTCAAGGTTGAACTGTGGGGTCCTTGGTGCTCTCTGAGCTTGGTTGTTTGCTTGTTTACAGATGTTTCAGTAGCCAACTGGGTAACAACGGTGTTGATGTTACCTAGATGGGCAATGGAATATCTGCAGGCAAACAACCTCAAAGAGCACCAAAGAGTCCAATATAAATTAATTGGTTCTGCTGCCCAGTACAAATAGTGGTGTTGTATATGTTCACACGTCTGAAAATTTGAGAGTCACATATGGAGGAGTCCTATGATTTGACCGTAAGCATTCTGGGTTTTCCCACCCTCCTTTCAGATCAAAAATGGTGGTTGACGTTATGTTCATCAGAGCACCTAATTTTTCAGTTTATTGCAGTGTAGACCTGAATTTCAAATGATCAAATGCTGGAAAATGCATGCTAGGGGCTGGATTCTGAGCCCTCCTGGGAACTGTTTCCTTCTTTGCATTAACTCACTGAGACTTTGTAATCTCTCTTTCCAGCAAATGGAGCGGTTCAAGGTAGTGGAACGTGAGACCAAGACAAAAGCCTACTCTAAAGAGGGTTTGGGCCTGGCCCAGAAAGTGGACCCAGCCCAGAAGGAGAAAGAGGAAGTTGGGCAGTGGCTGACGGTGAGAACTGGGGAATGTTGGATGGATTGGATGGCAAAGCAGCTTCTGGAGAAAGCGGGGAGCAGAACTAATTCTGCAGAGTGGTGTTGATAGGATCCAGACAGCATGGGATAACTCTGGTCTACTTGCTCTATGGATGAGTTGTTTAAACTGAGGACACACGTCTTCCTCCTTAACAGTCTCCAGTTTTCGACTCATCTATTGCTCAAGCAGTTGGGGTTTTTTGAGCTCCTGTAAAGTTTCTTAAGGAAACTTTAGTTTTTGGTACTTTTTGTGCATTTTTTTTAAATTCTGCAAAGAATCACAGGACAGAGCAGCAGACTGAGCCTGGGGCTTTTGCCTGCTGGGCTGCAGGATATTGGAGTGAGTACAATCTGCTTCCCCTGGGCAGTCAGTGGCTGGAGTGATCGCAGGGGAATTGCAGCTGAGAACGTTGCTGGAAAAGCTGGCTGGGGATGCCTGCCCCTTCAGGGAGTGCATCCCTGAGCTCAGGCAGGACCGTGCTCTACAGTAAGGTCCTCCGGGCTGCCTGCCCTTTAGGGAGTTGCAGCTCTGGAACGGCCATAGTGCAATTCATCTAATCAGATGATCAGCATGCAAACAGTGGGGGAGGCCAGTTCCGGAGGAAGAGAGCATTGCTGGCTGCAGCCTTTGTTTGTTGTGAGTTGTGCTTTCAGTTTCCCTTTGCAGCAGCTGTGGAGCGTGAAAAAGGATCTGCTGCTAGTCCAGGAATTGCAAAGGGCTAGCAGTGGTCTTTCAAAGCAGATTCTGGAGGCCTGCCATTGAGGAGAGCACTCCAGGGACTTTTTTTTTCTGTTTGACTTCAACCACAGGAGATTGTCAAGTGGTTGGGGGAGAAAAAGGATTAAGGATCTGAGGCCTTTTCCAGAAGCCAGAGGGTGGTGAGACCTGGCAATAGTACATTTAGTGGGGTGTTTGTTAGTGTAGGAGTGAGTTAGTATTGTTAGAGTTACTTTTCCCTTTTTTGTTTCGGTAATTATCAAAGGACCATATGGCTGATCATAATACTAGTTTTTCTTCCTCCCAAGGATTGGATTCCCAGTCAGGCAGAAGGGGATCTAAAAGGTCTAAAGCAACCTCTTCTAGATCTAGTAGAAGAGTCAGGGAGGCAGCTGCTAAGAGCAAGGCCAAGGCCATTTCCACTAAAAGAACCTCTAAAGGTCAACAAAAGGCTGAGCGCTGGCTTCAGGAGTCCTTGGAAAAAATGTTTATAAAAAATGCCAAGGACAGAGAGGGACCAAAGCAGCGGAGTCCTTTAAGGGAGGATTCTACTCCTTCGGTTGCTCAGGCTGGGCAACCGTTGGATCTATCTGGGGCCACACTATTTGGGGCCACACTGGAACCAGTCCTGGTTGAGACCAAGGACAGACGGAAGATCTTGCCTTCTCTTTCAAGAAGAGCGGAGAGCAAGTTTTCACCATCATTTCGGAGATCCTTTCGTCCTTCCTATTACAGACTAAACTTTCAAAGAGGTCAAGGGTCGTTTGGTTAAAGGTAGGATTTCCAGTCGTCTCAGGGGTTCCAGGACAAGAACAAGCCCCAACCACAAAGCAAGCGGCCATTTTGAGGGTCGGGCAACCGGTCCTTTCGTCGTCCCAAGTGACTGCATCGAGGCTCCCATTTGCGGCAGACTAAGACTTTTTGCAGACCAATGGGAGAAGACGATGACAGATGCTTGGGTTCTAGACACAACAAGAAACGGCCTAGCTTTAGAATTCTGCTCCAAGCTCCCAAGGTTCTTTTTCCGTTGCCCAACCTCAAACGATACATCCCGACAACTTCTGATGGAAGCAGCTATCCAGCATTTACTGTCAATTCGGGCGATAAGAGTGTGTGCCAGAAGAACAGCAGGGGCACAGCTTTTATTCAGTGCTTTTCATCATTCCAAAGAGCTTGGGGGGATGGAGAGCAATTCTCAGTCTAAAGGGGCTGAATCGCTATTTCATACAGAGAAAATTCAAAATGCACACTCTGCACTCCATCCTTCAGAGTGTCAGAGAGAGAGACTATTTGACTTCCATACACCTTACAGAGGCTTACTTGCACATATCAATTTGACCAAATCACCGTCGGTATCTGAGATTTTGCTACGAGGGCAAGCATCTTCAATACAGAGCCCTCCTGTTCAGCCTGGCGTCAGGTCCCAGAACCTTCACCAAGGTTCTGGTAGTGTTGGTGGCCTATCTCAAGACCATACTGATCCATCTACAGTGTTACCTGGATGATATTCTAATTCAATCGCCATCGACCTGTCAAGCAGAGGAGGATCTACAGATTACCCTGCAGGCTCTGCAGGCGCACAGGTTCTCAACACCAGCAAGAGCCATTTTCTGCCAACCACCCATCTATTACACCTGGGGGCAGTTATAGACACAGTGGAGGAAGTGGTCTCCCTCTCCCCAGAGAGAAGATCAGACATCAAGCGACTAGTAAGCCAAGTGAGATCCCACAAGGTAGCATCGTTTGCTCTACTATCTCAACTGTTGGGCAAGATGATCTCTTGCATAGCAATCGTTCCATGGGCTCGGCTGCATGCAAGGGATCTGCAGTGGTTTCTGCTCCCTTATCAGAGGTCGGGGCGAAGCAATTCACCGACAAGGGTAGTAGTGCCACCAAAGGTGTTAGCTTCCTTACTTTGGTGGAGGTCCCCGGCAATGCTCAAGGGGTGTGTGTTCAGAGATCAGGAACATCTCACAATTACGACAGACACCAGCCTCTTGGGGTGGGGAGCTCACTTCCTAGATCAGGTAGATCAGGGCAGGTGGTCGGACAAGGACTTGTTTTACAATATCAATTGGATAAAACTCCAAGCAGCACACCTGGCTCTCAAGGAGTTCAAAGACCACATTATGGGACAGAATGTCCTCCTCCTGATGGACAATGTGGCCACCAAGGCTCACGTAAACCATCAGGGAGGTACCCACTCCAAGACCCTCATGAGGGAGGTGGCAAGGTTGTGCAGATGGGCGGAAAGGAACCTGGGATCCATCAAGGCCGAGCACATCTCAGGAGTGAAGAATGTGTGGGCAGATTGGTTGGGCAGGGCCACAGTAGATCAAGCCAAGTGGTGACTGCATCCAGTCCTGTTCAGGGAAATCTCGGATCGGTTCGGTCCCCCAGTTGTGGACCTTTTTGCAACCTCAGAGAACAGTCAGCTGCTGAGGTTCTTCTCCAGATTCCCAGTGCAGGGGGTGGAAGGAGTCGATGCACTCAGGTGCCAGTGGCTGCAGAGTCTCCTTTATGCCTTCCCCCCACTTCCTCTCATCCCAGGGGTGATCAGGAAGGTACTCAAAAAGCAGAGGTACTTCTTATAGCCCCCAATTGGCCCAGGCGCCATTGGTTCACGGACCTAGTGAGTCTTTCAATAGACAGACCATGGAAGATTTCCCCCAAGAGAATCTCCCTCAGCCAGGGGCCGATAGAGCATCCAGAGCCTGGAGACTTCCAGTGGTGACGTTGTGACGGTGAGAGGTAAAGAACAGGCTCCATTCTCCAAACCTTTTTCTTGGCGTTGAGAAGACCCCCAAGGGGTACACAGATCCCAAAGAGATCCATGAAGGTGTGGGGAAACTCGAGGAGCAGAGCAGCGGAGGGCAACCGCCCCGTGATGATGAGATACCCTTTGAGCTCAACGCGTAAGCGACTGCCAACCCTGAATGGCGGCCCTGAAGTCATGACAGCCCAGGTGAAAGAAGGAAGCAAAGTTTAGAACAACTGACTGTGGTGTTGACTAGACTTGGAGGTGCAAAGATCGTGTGCGACGAACAGGAACTGCTCTAAAAAAAGGTTTGTAATTTGTGGAGGGCGAGAGAGGCAGGAGAAAGTCGATTGGAGCTCCAAAAAAGGCGGTGAGCGGGTGGTGGTGTAAGCAGTAACAAGGAGCGGAGGATTTGCTGGAGAGAGAGGAGCTTGGTGAATCGGTACGAACAAAGAAGCAGAAAAAAGATTTGAGACCTTTAAAAGGCTTCTAGACTCAAAAGAAGAAATTGGATTTTGTTGAAATAGACGATAGCTGCTGGGCTGCTTACATTTGACAGTGACAGCGATAGAGAAGAATGGAAGAGGAAGTGGCTGAAGTAACAGAGGCGATTGGAGTCCATTGAGGAGAACAGCTATTACTCAACAATTTTGCTTTTGAGATAAGATAACTGAACTGAGGAAAGTACTGTCAAGGGGTGAAAATACCCGATGAAATGATTGTTGATTTTTGATTGATTGAAGCTAGATTAATGAAATAAGTTCGTATTTCTATAACTTTATAACTTATTTATAAACTTATTTATAAAATTCAGAGATTTATAAAATTAGTGATTTAAGATTTAGAGACTTAGAGGGTAATTATCTGCATTAGTTCATATTTATACCTTATATACATATTTATATATTTATATACTCATATATTTTATACTCTAAAATATTAGATGGGGGAAATTTGTTAATGAATGGGGACAAATGTGATTATTTGAGTAAACATTTTATAATGTATATTTTATATAATTCACATATTTCATAAGACTTTATTATATTTTATAGTATTGATACTAATTGAAGACTACATTAATTTAAAACTACATAGAGTTGATAAGGATTTTATATATAAATAGTGTGATACATAAGAGTTACAATATTTAATTATATAATATTTCCAAATTTGGTTGTTAGAAGTGTATGAGTTAAGCCTATTTAGCTGAAAGACAGAAGTTAGTTGTGCTACAAGTAATATTAACGATAATTGATTCTATAACAAGATATACTAGAAAAAGAATTATAAAACGCTGAACGAATTAATAGGAATCTAGATAGAACTAAACTTAGAGTATTGTACAAAAAGTATATAGACAATAAGAAGTGAACTATCAAATGCTGATCTGGGACAACATATATAATATTTTAGAAAAACAGAGTGAAATATTAAAAGAAACGACGAGCATCACCACAACGACGGTGAAAGCCAAAAAAAACAACACCAATTCCATTAA